GCTTGATACAGTATGGAGCGCCCCTAGAAGTGAGTCACTGTATTTATTGCCTCCTTTGCATCCTTCGCAACAGTGATACATGATGAATAAATTCTAGAGATTTACTGTGCAACACTGTGACCACAGTTAACAATACTGCATTGTGCACTGTGACCACAGTTAAGTTTGTTAAGAAGGTAGCTCTCATGCTTGTGTTCTAACCACAATAAGAAAAATTATGCTTTTCTTTGAGATTCGGATTTATACATTCTTTCAATCTGCTTTCCAACAGCAAATTTAAAGTTTTTTAAGTCATGAAGCAAATAATGTCATTAGCGTAGTCACAATAAGTCATCTGTGTGAAATAATAGGACACAATTTTAAGAAATTGGACATAAAAAAGCAAGAGCAAGGAAACTGACTCAAAGCACAGAACATTGTAATAAGAAACAGACAACACCTTTTTTTGGCAAGACAATAACCTCTTGAAGTCAATAGAATATTTGCTAATATGAGTATTAAACTTGTAGGGAGGGTGAGGGTATAGCTCAGTGGTTGAGTGAAGGCCTTTCATGCCTGAGGTCCTGGGTTTAATCCCCAGTACCTCCATTTTATAAAAAATGAATGACCTAATTACCTCCCCCACAAGAAAAAAGAAAAAATAGTAAAAAATGAATAAATAATAAATTTACATAAATAAACTTGTACACAATAAGTCCACAATTGTTGGAGTCATTTCTTACTTATCTTTAAAGTACAAAGATATGATTTGAATACAAAAAAATGCTCCTGACAGCAATAAATTTGTGTGAAATTAAAAATAATAAAATTTAAAAGCTGAAATAAATTAATTAAATAAAATAAGCTATGTAAGTATCACCACTTAACACAAATGCTTATTTTTTCCAAAAAATAGTTTTTTCCTTTATTTTATTTAATTTTTTATATATATTTTTATTGAAGTATAGTCAGTTTACAATATTACATTAATTTCTGGTGTACAACACAATGCTTCAGTCATACAGGAACATACATATACTCATTTTCATATTCTTTTTCACCATAAGTTACTACAAGATATTGAATATAGTTCCCTGTGCTATACAGTATAAACTTGTTTATCTATTTTATGTACATTATTTAGTATATGCAAATCTAGAATTCCCAGTTTATTTCTTCCCACCTCCCTCCCCACCCCTGGTAACCGTAACTTTATTTCTATGTCTGAGTCTGTTTCTGTTTTGCAAACAAGTTCCTTTGTCTTTTTTTTTTTAGGTTCCACATATAAGTGATATCATATGGTATTTTTCTTTCTCTTTCCAGCTTACTTCACTTAGAATGGCAATCTCCAGGTCCATCCATGTTGCTGCAAATAGCATTATTTTATCATTTTTATGGCTGAGTAGTATTCCATTGTATAAATGTACCATAGCTTCTTTATTCAGTCATCTGTCAATAGACACAAAAGTTAGTTTTATGGGAAAAGAATTATTGAATGATTTTGCCTGTGATTTTTTGATTTGATCACTAAACAGATGGTAATCTTAAAAATTTGGACAACTCAACAAATTGCAACCACTACCACCACATGGGAAACATTCTGATTTGCATTCATAGCACTTAAGAAGAAAATGCACGTTCATATGAAATAGCTTGAAAGGAGAAAAAGAAGAAGATTCAATGGAGCTGGGAAACTGCTCCAGGGTAAAAGAATTTCTTTTCCTTGGCCTAACCCAGAATCAAGGACTGAGTTTGGTCTTATTTCTTTTCCTACTTTTGGTGTATGTGACCACTCTGCTGGGAAACCTCCT